CTCGAAATTAGGAAATCAGTTTTGTTTTGTTATCACAGCACCATAAGAGTACAGTATCTCTGCATTAATAAGCTAAGGACACGAACTCTTTTTAGAGTATAGCCTCGACTGAAAAGCAGATTGAACATTTGGAGAACTTTCCTTGTAAGAAAATTTTTTTGTCCATTTTATTTTTCACTATTGCGATCAATTGACATCGCCTAGTTAGATTCGAGAACAAGGTATCATTGCTTTCTTGCTTACAAAAATTTTTCGATTTTTTTTCCTTGGAAAATAGTCGATATTAGCTGGAATGAGTTTCAAATACGGATGCAACAATTTTAATTCTTAGAATTGATCTTGAAAAAATCGAGATGAAATTATTAATTTATGAAAAAATTAGTAATTCTACAACAATCAATTCTGACCAATTTCAAATTAAGAATTAAAATTGATGCATCACTAATTTCAAAGCACATTTGTTGATCATGATTATCTTCTTGGCAAAACGACTTATTCTTAGATATTGATATTTATGAATATCTTTGAAATTTTTGATAGAAAATCATAAAAAGAAATCGAAATGATAAAAAATATTCTATATTATCAAAAAGTCATGACGAAGGATTTTGGTATCTTGAATGCACTAAAAAGAACTCTAGATAATATAATAACACCTTCTAACGTACACTAATCAGATTAGATTATTAGTTTTTCAAAGTTCTAATATATAATAACTTGTTTATGACACATCATAAAAAGTCATATAATACGTTTCATTCTTGTATTTAAAAAGGATAAGAGGATTACAATGACAGCAAAGAATATATATATATATATATAGAAATTTAAACCTATGAATTCTAAAATTTTATAGACTAATAGAATAATTCATCTAAGTATAAACTTAGAAAAAATTTTGTTTTATAGATCTAATTGATATAAAATTTAATTCTTACCAATTAAGATAGCAAATTCCTGTGAAAACATCTAGAAATGGTATATGATTTTCTTGAAAATATTCATTTAATGTCATCATATGTCCATTTTTAACAATTCCAAATAGTTTTTTTTCTATTAAATAAATATCTTCTATATGAATACTTGAGACCGTATAATTTGGTATTAAATGTAATGCATCATATAAAAGTAAGTATGTTAAATAGATTAATACAGCTAATGCCAAACGCCTTGTAGGTTCAGATATAATAAAAGATACAAGTAAAATTAAATAAATTAAAATATGTACTATTGAAATACCAGCAATAAATATAAACCATAGAAAATAAAGAAAACTTGCTAAAATTATCCAAAGTATATTTTCTTTTAAAGATAAAAAATTTGAATATTTATTATCAGTATTTATTAGTAGATCATTAGAATAATTTGTTGGTATATTAATAGTAATAGAATTTTGATTTGTATTATTATTTTTTTCATTATTATTTTCATCATTTATTCTATGAATATCAAGTTGATGATAAATTAAATGATTATTATCTTGTTTAATTATACCATTTGGATGTTTTTTATACGATATAAATGTTTTATAACGTGGTCGAAATGGTGATGTTAAAGTTGAAAATAATGTTGACAATGATGATGATGATGATGATGAACCATTAACATAAGAAGATTTTGTACTATATTCATTAGGTAATGAAGCAGTGGAGTCATCTTTAGTTGTATTTGTTTGAAAACCGAGTTGTGTACCTGATAAAAATAGAAAATTAAAAATATCATGGACTGTTAATATTTCTTTTCATACAATAAAAGAAACTATTTCTTATAGGTAAGTTATAATAATTCTTATTATGTCACATTGACCGATGATTCAAATATCAAAAAAACGAAAATGTAAAGAACGAAAAGTTCGAGTACATTCTTTTTTTTTGTTTATACAAGTATGGATTTGACAGACTAGTCGAATATGACTAATCATTAGGTGAGAAAATAAAATTTTTACAATAAAAAAAACATTTATCTAATTAATATGAATTTAATTTATTTATAGAAATTATTATTCAATATTAATTATACAAGTTAATTTGAAAAATATGTATGAATTTCTTTTGATAAATTTATTCGGTTTAATTGCTCGAACGTAAAGAAACAAAAAAATCAATTTTTGCAACAATAAAACAAAGTTAAATAAATGCTTTTATAGCTTGTCATTGAATTTGCTCTTTTTCATTCAAATATATTGACGTTATATCTATATAGCACAAATTTGTCTTAGTCTACAAAATAAATATAATTAAAATTCAATAATTTCTGTCAATAAATTAAATTCTATATTTATCAATACAATTTGGTTTTTTTTTGTTGTCATTCGAATTTCTGTTTTTTTTTTTTTTCAAACTAATTACTAATTAAATTAGAATGATAAATCATCTAGTCATGTTCTGCTAATCAAACTCGACAACGAAAAAAATATATATATAAATGAATGAAAGAAAAAAAAGGTACATTGACTCAAATTTTACACCTCTTTTTTTTGCATATCTATGATGTCAAAGGGAATCAAGATAAAAAAATGACAAAGAACAAAAGAAAAAGATACTCTATTGCTATTTTTTTGTTTCTTTATTGTTTATCAGTATTAATTCGGTATAAGAAATTAATCCTCATGAGATTGAATGTCGTGATAAAAAAAAAAAAAGAAAAATTAACATTCATCTCTTACCTAGTTGAGTAAAGAATGTTGACATAGGCACAAAAATTTTTGTCCATTTTCGAGTATATAATGGATTATAATAACGCATATTACTCATTTATTAAAATACTTCATTATAAATCTATGAATATTATTGAACAATATCAACTAAAATAAATAACAAAATAATATATCATACCCAATTAAATGCTAATGAATCGGTTGGTTTAAAAGAAAAATAATGTGCATATATATACAGATAGATAGATAGATAAGCAAGCCCTATTCCAAAACAGGCTAAAAAAAATGAACGAACAACAAATGAATGAATAAAATACTAAAATAGAAATGAACATGAAAAAATATAAACTAAATTATTAATATGATACTCAGAAACATACTTTGAACGAGATTTAAATAAAAAAAACCTCATGCAGAACTATTAATCGACTAGTAACAAAAGAAAAAAAATAACTCAAAATACTCATTGTCTTCTTTTTTTTCATCGACTATACAATGTCTTATCGAATAAAGAATATAACAATTGATCGACAACCTTTTGTCAAATATGTCGTCAACGCGGTTACTAGCTGATTGTTACCCTTTTTCTATGCCTTACGCAGCTATTTCATTCGGTTCGGTTATCAAAAAAAAAAAAAAGAATAATCTCGAGGCGTCGTGGTCGTACGTCCGCGTTTTTTTTTTCTTTCATCTATTACATGCACTCTGTTTTTCTCGTTCTCCTATTGTCGCATTTTATTCTTTCCTTCTTTTATCTATGATTTTTTTTTTCTTCGTTTCTCTCCTAGTTTTTTTTTCTTTTCTTCATTCCATAGTGACTCGTTTTCACCCATACTACAAACGCTCGTTTTCTAACTCATTTTATGAAATCGATGTGAATTGTATTGTATAATATCTAATTGTTTTTTTTTTACAAGCAAGCTGACTAATGAGACTTATTTTTCTTTTTTTAGTATTTATATGTGCTTCGAATTGATACTTTAATTAGTTATTTATAAATGTAAATGTTTATTTTTGATTGGTAATAATGATTAAATAGTATGTTGGTAGAAAAACTATTTTAAAAACAAAAATCGAGAATTTATTTTTATATTGTTTAAAAATCTTTTTTTGTTCTATTAATGATATAATTATACTGAATGATCTATATCTTCTGATCATCAAAAACAACATCATTAGTCATATACAAATACTATTCAAAAAAAAAAAAGAAACAACTAATATTTTTCTTTACCTTGAGTTCCATTGTTAAATAGACATTTTTAATCGATTTTAAAAGAAAATATTGACGTAAGGTGAATTAGAATTTTACTCTTTATATTTTCTTTTCTTTTTTTTTTCAATTGTCACAAAACATATATCTTTTATATTCGAAGCAATATCAAGAACAATATTTAGTTTTGAAATTTTTCTACTGTAAAACTTGCCGTGAATCATAAATAAATCGTACAAAAGCATGCTTCTAATCATTCTTTTTTTTCTTTTCTTTTCTTACTGACGTTTGTTCAATGAAAGTAGAAGGTTACTGTCAACAAAATGAAACAAACTTTCCATTATATAATAAAAAAATTGGTTTCTTAGAAATATTTCAAAAGAGAAATTCTATTGGTTATGCTTCAAGTGCAATCAATGAAAGGCGCCATTCTGTTCTGCTTTGACGACAATAGCGTGCAAATACATACAAAAAAATATAAAAAAATAAAAGAAAAAGAAATGATTCAAGACAACAGTAGTGAAGCAAAGAATAATAGCAGTTGTCGTCAACGTTTTATATGCATACACAGATGTTTAACGAATGTTTTTGATGATTATTGTTCTTTTTTCTATGTATCTGACGTTGAAAAAAACTAATATGCGCAATTGATTTGAAAATTTAGCAAATATTGAAAGAAATAAAATCAATAGATAATACAATTCTTTTCCTATGTCATCCAAAGTATGCTACAACCCATTGCATTCATTACTTTCATTCAATTCAGAATCAGAAAACTATATATCTAAATAATTAATTTCCGTTCTTAGTTCTTTTTTTTTCTTAATAATATGTCATAATAAATTTATTTTCTTTTTCTTAGGAAATCATTAGAAAAATGAGCGGATATGTATTCAAGCAATCATATATTAAGTTTTTCTTTACAGATCTCTTCTTTTTTCGAAATCAAATATAATTAAATTAATCTTTTCCTTTTCATGACATTTTTCTTTTTTTGTAAATAAAAATTAGTTTTATTACAATGAGAAAGATTGTTATGTAAAAAGATTTCTTTTTCATTAAAATCTATTCAATTAGAATGCACTTAAAAAAATAAAAAATAAAGAGAGCAAGAAGTTCATAGTTTTCCATTTAATGTACCATATTGCATTGAGATAAACATGATAAATCATTCACTGAAATGTATGTAGCTAAAAAAAAAAAGAAAATTAAATGTATTTTTTAATTAAAAAAAAAGAAATCTTTTACCATTCATATCTAATTCATCAGTATTATGAAGATTTTTTTTTTCTTCTAATTTTGGTCCTTTGACAACTTTAACTCGATTACCAGTTAACATTTTCATTTTAACACCACCATTATTTAAACATACATCGATCATATGTCGATAAGCAAGTCGTCGTGCTTCATTTGTATCTTGACTTATTCCAGCAGGAAATTGTATATGATTATCAAGTATAACACGATGAAACCAATATCTTTTACCATTAAATTGTCGTGTTTGTGCACGATTTGTTACATTCATTGTACTCTGTTGTATAACTTTATCAATTTCACATATATCAGATGTAGATTTTAATTCATTATTTCGTAACATTTCAGCTAATTTTGATAATGATACTGTATCTGCAAAGCAAACTCGATTTTCATTCCTACAAATAAATAATTCATTTAAAATTTAAATATTTTATTAATCAATGAAAAAAAAAATCACTTACAATTCATGTTCGGATGTATCCGATAAAACTCCTGCACATTTTGCTGTTTCCATTAATTGATTGATTTCAATTGGAGTCATTTCAACCTTGACCAAAAAAAAAAACGAATAGAAAGTAAAGTTAAAACAATTAGTCCTTCGTCAATTACATTCTCAATTGCACGATTAGATAATATTTCTTCAGTTTGAGGAATATGTTTACTAGGTGTAAATAATCTTTTACGATTAGTATATCGTGAACCAAGATCTGAAATTAATGTTAATTGAATCAATCAATATTTTTTTTTGTTTTTTTCTTTACTTCGATCAGTACTTAATAATGTTCGACCAAGAAGACCTGTGAAAGGTGTTTGACATTTATATGATGAAGCTGATGGTGTACTAGGTGTATTATCACATTTTGATTTCAAACTTGTAATATCTGATTCTAAAAAATAAAATTATTTTAATAAATTAATAGAAAATTTCATACGAACGAGTTAAACTTCGTGTTCGATATCGACGTCCAAAATTAGCTGATGAAAGTGGTGGTGGTAGTTGTGATTTTTTCATTTTTTTTTCATCTAAGAAAATATAAATCGAAGTTTTCATTTTGAAAAAAAAGAAACAAATAATTACGTTTTTCTTGTAGAAAAATAGCATCATCATAAGCCATATCACATGCAATTTGTGTTTGTTGCATCCAATGATTAAGACGACGTACAACAAAATCACGAATTTCTGTATTACGATGTGATATCGTCCAATTAACTCGTTCAAATGGATGTTTTGTATCTTGAACTATATTAAGATCAATAATAGCACCAGTCATACGACGTAATTCATTTAAACGACAATCCTTTATTTCAAAAAAAAAAAAGAAAAATATTATTTTAAATTTTGACTTGTTTTTTTCTTTTATTTACTTGTTCGCCACAAAATATTGCACGAGCATTGATATCAGCTCGTTGAATATCACATACTGTTTGTAAAGTTAAAGTCTAAAAATAATGATAATAAGAAATTATTTAAAAAAAAATAATAATAATAATAACAAACCGGTAGAAATGATTCATGTAGAATCGATGAAAAACCTGATGATGATGATCTACTAGACATTTTCGATATAGAACTCATTTTAATACACAGATTGATTTTTAAAAGTAATCACGACTAGAATGATCTATCTGACGATTAAATGGACGAATGTTTGGTTATATTTTCTTTCTGTTCGTTTACTATGTCACATGTATTGTTTCAGTAAACAAAGTATATTTATCACAATGAACAATGAAAGTATTAAACACGATGTACAGTCTATTGGTTAAAATTGATTAAATATATGTTCTTTTAAAAATATAAAACATCATGTTATTTAATAGCTATTTCAATAAATTGTTAGAAAATTTGTTTTTTTAAGATATTTTCTTTTTCGCTTATTCAATAAAAAATAGATCGATTAGAAAAATTAAATATATTAAATCATATTTATCTTTTTCTGCATATTTCTCTTAATATCTATTTCGAACAGAGTTTAAAAAAAAATAAATTCAAATATAAATTTTATCAAATTGAAATTAGTCATCATATAAACTGAATAAAATCCAATCATTTACAAATGATTCATTGATTGATGATGAAAATATTATACAGAAAAAGTGATTTAATGTTAATGTCAATTATAAAAATATTTTAAATATTCAAAACAAAAATTGTTCTTGTAATATTTTTTTGTATAAATTGAAGGATTATTAAAAGACACTGACAAATTTTTAAATATTTTAGAGAATTTCTTGTCCTAGTAAACAATGATTAAGGTCCATTTCAGAGATAAGTGGCCGTGGGCATTTGTTTTTTGACTGTAATGTTCGCCTGTCGACATTATTGTATTAAATCTGAAGTAGAAAAAATTACAGATCACAGCATTACCTAGGGGTATCCAAAAGTAGTGGCAACGACATTTTAATACCGCGTAGTAAGCTTGATAAAAGTTTCTTTTTACATAGGATGATAGAGAAAAAAAAACTCTTTCTTTCTATGCTATTTGATCATACTTCAATTGATATCATAACAATAAAGTCCTAATAAGACTAGTTTGCCTATCATGTATAACAGTTATAAAGGGTGACCCATAAATTACCCGTCGCTTTTTAATTGCGAATAGCTTTTGATAGGAACAAGATAGAGAGCTGCGGTTTTCACCATTCGAAAGAGGATGTGTCACTGCATAGTTCCATGTATTACTCAATGGTCTCGAATGATAATCAAATGGTGAGTCACTAATTTTTGGAAAAGTAGTGATATCATATGATGATGGCATAGAGGTTCAATTCTATGTAGTGAATGAGATCTGTGTACCTACGATCCATGCTCACAATCTCATTCCCGAAAGTTGTATATTCTTCCATTCCAAAGCTATAGGTCGAACACTAGAGAATGAGACTGTGAGCATGGATCGTAGGTACACAGATCTCATTCATTTCATAGAATTGAACCTCTATACCATCATCATATGATATCACTACTTTTCCAAAAATTAGTGACTCACCATTTGATTATCATTCGAGACCATTGAGTAATACATGGAACTATACAGTGACACATCCTCTTTCGAATGGTGAAAACCGCAGCTCTCTATCTTGTTCCTATCAAAAGCTATTCGCAATTAAAAAGTGACGGGTAATTTATGGGTCACCCTTTATAACTGTTATACATGATAGGCAAACTAGTCTTATTAGGACTTTATTGTTATGATATCAATTGAAGTATGATCAAATAGCATAGAAAGAAAGAGCTTTTTTTTCTCTATCATCCTATGTAAAAAGAAACTTTTATCAAGCTTACTACGCGGTACTAAAATGTCGTTGTCACTACTTTTGGATACCCCTAGGTAAATTTATTTTAAATTTAAATTACTGATAATGTAATTTACGCATTAATTAAATTGAAAATATAAATTGATACCTCCAGAAGGATCTATTGCACCCATACTCATATGATATTCATTAATAATTTTTTTTGAAATAAAAAAAATTGTCGGTACTTTAACTGTTTGTTTTTCTGTACCTTTTTTTTTTCTTCAAAAAAAAAAATTTTAATTTTGCCTGAAAAAATTTTAAATTTGATTGAATTTTAATTTTGACCACAACCTATACATAGGTGGCGGAGATGGGCGAATGTATGAATCATTTCAACAAGTTGAATGGATGAACAAAATCATCGAGTAAAATACTTCGATACAATCCTTGATCATGATGACATAATATTGTTTGAGACATCTATTCATTCCCAAATTTTCTTTTGGAGGGAGAAGAAAACGATTACAAAATGCAAATTAAAGTAAAAAAGGCTTTGTCTTTAGTAGAAAATTTAATACCGACTTAAGGGAGCTAATTGGTTATAAATTTAATTCACTTTCGAAAGTCGATTTAAATTTAATGCACCAATCAAGAAAGCACTACGCTCTACTAATCAAAATAATGAACGAACCTCGATAAAGTCGCTCTATATTATCGATACATAAATGTTTTCAATATGATGAACTATAAGAATTGACGAGAAAGACAAATAACACTTTTTCATCGTGAACATGTGCTAGAATTATGCACTTTGACTACGTTAGTGTCCGTTTCTCAATTCTGATCGATGTATGGAATTTATAAGTGTAGACACGTATAGATTTAATACGATATTAATACTAAATTATTATTCTAGTGACGACAAGGCCAAAGCATCAAGCACATGATGATAAATAATTAGTCAATTGAGTAGTCGAAAATTACAACTGATTACAGTAAACATGCATTTTTTGTATTTTTTTCTTCTAGATAAGACTTTATACATCTAATACGGCTATAGGGAAATACAAAAAAAAATCAATCACTCTTATTATTAGTGCAGTTATACAAAATCATAAGAGGCTAATATTGAATTGATACGATTAGTAAAAGTCAGTCGATAGTTGTTTGCATTCACTTAGTGAACGAATATTTATCATTCAACCATGACACAAAAGATGTTTCATATGGCACCTATATTAAATGTACCAAAATCAATTCGTGAAGATGATACTATTTGTTGTAATAAGCAAGAACATGTCGAACACAAAGAAAGAGAAAATAAAGAAGGTAATGGTGATCTTATATTTGGAGCAATAGATGATGAAAAACCCTCAAGAGAAAAACTCAATGAAAAATCTTCATCAATTGATGAAGGTATTCATCTTCCTATCGATGGTGAATGTACAACTTCATCAATAAGTACAGTTGATGATGAATGCGACAATATATTACCTATTACTGAAGGCGATCGACTATTTAATCTTGTTGTTCATCTTAAATCAATTAGTGGAAAAAATTCAAACGAACAAGATGTTGGTATGTCTAATTTTCGTGTTAAACATCGTTTACATCGTCATTCAAAAACAAATACTCTTGGGCATTGGAAAGAAGCAATGAAAAAAACTTTTCATCTTAAAGATCCATGGTAAATCTTGTTCTCTTGACCTTTCAAGAATTTTTTTTTTTTTTTTTGTAGGGAGGATTTTAAAATTGATCATTATCCAGAAGAAATTGTTATATGTCATGAGTTTGATCCAATTAAACGTACATGGCATACAAGTCAAATTACAGTTAAAATTGAATCAAAACCATTTGCACATGGAAGTATGAGAGAATGTTTTCGATTGTAAGTTTATTTTTATTAATTATTTAAAGTAGATAAAAAATAACAAATTTTTATTTAGAAAACAACTCTCAATTTTTTCAACTAATCAAGATTGGGATCGTTCAAGTAATTATATTGCTAAACGATATATTGATGATGTACCAATGGCACGATATTTTGATGATGTTATGATGCAAATGACAACAAAATTATGGGCAGCACATTATAATCAACATAATCCACCGAAAAAAGTATTTTTTAAATGAAAAATAAAAATATATAAATTTTTTTTTTTTTTTGTTATTTTTGTTTCTTCAAGGTTGATATTATTCAAATGAGTGTATTAGAATTTAAAGATCGTGCTGGACGACCTTATTATCATTTAGAACGATTTATTGTAAGATAAATAAATAACAAAAAAAAAAAACATCAATTTATTTTCAATATTTTAGGATGGAAATTATATAAAATATAATTCAAATAGTGGTTTTGTATGTGATGATACTTTACGTCATACACCACAGGTTTTTTTTTCTATTACAATAAAAATAGTCAAAATTTATTTTTTGTTTATTTAAAGGCATTTAGTCATTTTACTTTCGAAGCATCTTGTCATGAACAGATTGTTGTTGATATTCAAGGTGTTGGTGATTTATATACTGATCCACAAATTCATACAAATCTTGGTTTTGAATATGGCGGTTAGAAATTTTATTATTATTATTTTTTTTTTTCGTTAAATTTAATATCTACTATGAATTTTTCTAGAAGGTAATCTTGGTATTCGTGGTATGGCATTATTTTTTTCTACACATGAATGTAATCCAATATGTAAACGTCTTAATTTAACATCATTTGATTTATCACCTGGTGAACATGAACGTCATACACAACAACATGCATTAAGTCCATCATATGCATCAAATCTTTCAGCTCAAACAGCATGTCGTGGTTCGGAAGAACCATTAAAAGGTTTTTCAAAATTTTGTTCATTATTTCGACAACTTCGTTCATCATCATCGTCAATATCAGAAGATGATTCAGATGGTTATGTTTCTGAAACATCATCAATTACACCTGCTACTGCTCCCATACTTGAACATCGTTTATCATTACCACAACCTGAACTATTAACGACAACACTTAGTGATGAAAATTTACCGTTATCATCACTTAAAAAAATAAAATTACCATTAGTATTAACAGCTAGTTTAAATAGTCCATCACCTGTAAGTATTTTTCTAATTGCATGAAAATTATGTTTTATTTGAAATGTATCTTTTTTTTTTTGTTATGTTTGCTGTATAAAGGATTCTTCTTCATGTTCACAATCTGTAAGTAATTAAATGAATTAAGAAGAAATTGAAGAAAAGTTTTGTTTTATTTTTAAGCATTTCAATTTTAACATGGAAGATCTTTATAACGCTCAAACACCAAATAATTATGGTGATAGT